ATAATATAATATAATATACAACATGCAATTGAATTTGATTCATTACCTGCGGTTTGCCGCAATCACATTCTTCATCGTTATCGATCACATTATTACCACAGACAGGTTCCTTGTAAACATTACTTGTTCTGGGAGGATTTCTAAGGCAGTTTCCACCTCCACTTAGAATAAGGTTCTCAAAATCATCAGCACTGCAGGTGCTGAAATTACTGGATCCACTGTAAAGCATATTATTTTTTTATTATAAATATTTTGCTTACAGGAAAAAACACAACTCAAGCCCTTAAAGTATTGTCAGTCTATAATAAATACAGTGTTTCATAGCATTAGGAGATCATGAGATACTTGATTTTTACTTTATTTTGCATTAGAGTACAGCACTAGAAATACTATATATAGCATATATTCAAGTACTTTCAGAAGAAGAAGAGATTATCAGATTGTCCATTCTATAAAACAGGCCTTAGAAATTCCTTGTCTGTACTGAGCCTAAAAATGCTTGATTAAAAAATGATTTCCAGAAAGACATTCACCTTAACTTGGAATCCCTATGAACTAAGGAATGCATCATCTTATAGTAGTTTTGTCCAGTGTTCAATTACCCTGATTTATTAATACAAATGTGGATAGATAAAATAATATGATCTTCTTCTCTTAAGGGGAAGCCAAAGAACAAATGAACTGAAAGAAATCTAGGCTGATAGTTTTGGTTTAAATTAACTGTTACTAGAATCTGTGTGAAGGGTGCATGTTTGCACAAACCTGGTGAATATATGTAAAGCATTCTCAGCAGGGTAAAAAAAAAAAGCAAGATACTATCATTAAAAAAAAAAATTAAGAAAATCCAAATAAGTTTTAGGAATGCTACAAATAATGACTGGATCGAAAACAGGCAACATTTCAAATTAAAATGATGTCAGGACCTAAGTCAGTGAATTCACCTCTGTGGTTAAACTTTTCAAACAACTCCCCATTCACAAAAGTTCTTCAAGATTCGTGGGAGTTTCACAGCTTATAAGGCATAGTCACTGCAGGTAAATAACAATTATTAAAATAAAATAACTGGAAATCTTACTTATCTGTGCTGTGCATAATATAGGATGCAGGACACCTTTTATCGTCATGTTTCATTCCCAGATTATGTCCCAATTCATGTGCAACTACTGTAGCATGACGTAACACATTGTTATGATTCAACTAATAAAAAGAATCAGTGTTAGAAAAATATAAAACTAAAGACATTACTAAGTTTCTACCTACTGATTTATTCAAGCCACAAGTCTCTCGAAGGCTATGAAGACAGAATACTGAATTGTATTGCAAAGCGAAAGCAGCAAGAGCATGCAATTTGTCACTGTTTTTTCAGTAGGGCCAGATTCTGCCTCTCTGTTCTATTTCTTCCATTAGGATCATATTCTGAATAATGACACAGTTAATCAATCATGACGCTGATTTCAATGGAGTCTTCAAAGGCAAAAAGACAAAAGACTGGTAAAGAACAGAATCTGCCTCTAAGGTTGTGCATGATGTTGTGGCATCCATATTGTAAGGAGAGGGACCTCTGGAGATACTGGTGCTGCCCCAAGGGTGAAAGAGAAAAAATCCTTTCTGACTAATGTTGCCAAATTTAGATTTCTTGCCCGTTTACAGCCTCATTGTGGAGAATTCCAGACACTTTAGAATAGACTGCTTCATGTTCACTGCCTATCCATGTAAAGAGTCAAAAAATACACATTATTTTGTAGCTGCATTCCCATCCCAAAACCACTGTGGTTATGCACCTTAATGGTACAAGAATGGGCTTTTCTTATACAACCTTGAGCTAGCCGAATTACAAAAAGGTGATAAAAAATCATTTCAGGACTAAATCAGCCAAATGGACTGGAATATGATGAAGAGAGAAATTGGAAAAAACTTTTTTTTTTTTTATACAAGTATAAAAATATGCACAAGTCTTTACATCAGAAGCCCCGTGACAGAAGCCATACCACTCCAAGACCTCAGTGCCTTGACCAAATAGGTCAACAAATTGCACATCATTTATTTAGGACATTCCGGAAGGTACCTCTGTGGAAGCAGTGTCTGGCAATAGCAGTAGCTACAACTCTGGGTTGTGTAAATGCACAGGGGAAAGCCTTAGTTGTTCAGGTACCTCTTAGTCTGACTAGCAGCATATCAAGCAGCTCTTGTGCTAGTTTCTTCTAAAAACCACAACGTTATGTACTTACAGTGCTGATTGACCCTCCCTGGACTTGTGAGCAGACGGTACCTACAAAAGCCATTCCAATGGCTCCACCATAAGAGCTTCTCCCTCTGCAACAAAAGCAGTTTGAAGGTGTTGAAAGAGGGGCTGAAAGTTCATGAGTTCTACTAAAAGACACTGATGAGTCTGAAACAAATACTGCAAGTCAAAAGCTGGTATTCTTGAAGTCAAGAAGAAATTTATCATCATATCAGGGTTTCACTGTAATAAATAATGAACATCCCAATAACAGAGCTTGAAAATAATGACCAATCATCTAAATCTGCTGTGTCAGTGCTTCTGAGTTCACAGAATCACAGAACAGTTGAGGTTGGAAGGGACCTCTGGAGGTCATCTGGTCCAACACCCCTGCTCAAGCAGATCCACCTGGAGCTGATTATCTACAAAGAATTCATAACACTTTCTTAACATTTTTCCAGGTTAAAACAGTTTGTAAGTTGAGTGAATTTTACTCTAGTTATATCTTCATTCATACACAAACCCAAAATCATATACATTAACAACATTGGCAGCATGGCTAGTTTTTCCACTGAACACTTACATTATGAGATGGCTAACATCATTTCGTGATCGTTTAAGAAGATCGTTCTGTCTCCAAGAAACAAATCTACTCAGTACATCTCCAGCTGAACCATCCATTACAGATATGGGGTTTGTATGTGTCCAGATCTCTAATCCAACCAAAACAATCTGGATGTTTAATGCTCTATACATCTGAAAAAATATAATGACAATTACTGTCCATCAGTTTCAACTGAAAGACTGCATCACCACTACTGTAAACATTAAGCTGAACATAATGACTGAGACATAACTTTAGTTTCTTTGCATAATTAATAGTTTGATGTGAGGAAAAAATATATGACTGAAGGCAATCTACTTCATGAAGGTACCTAAACATATCTCTCAGTTGGAGAAGTTGGAAAGACTGTGTTCATTCATTTCCTTAGCTAATTGTCTTGAGGAGAAATTGGGAACAGATCATCAGAGAGCTTATGGAATTGTTCACAGCGCTGACAGTTTGCTTAATAAAAAAGAACTACGTACATGAGAAATACTCTTCCTGGAAATGTAAAACCTACTGGAGACCTCACGTTCCTGGAGCAGCCAAAGTCTGGGAGCACAGAGAAGTGGTTTAAAAACATCTTGCATCTCTCCCTCTGTCTACACCTCTATAAGACTTGTGCATGGATTAATGAGGGGCCTTAAATATGTTACAAATTGCTGTATAACTTCCAGATACAGTTTCAGAACATAATTGTTCAGATTTACTGCATTAGCTGTTCTTTTGAAAACTATGATGAAGTATAAACTACCGAATCTCAGCAACTTATCTGACCTACCCCATCAACGTAATTAATCAGCTCAACTGTTTCCTTTTGCACTGCAGCAGGATCCAATTTCTTCAGCAAAAACTGTAAAATATTATATGAGAATATCAGAGAAAAAATATAATGGTTTAATAAAATGTATGTAGCATTGGATGAAATCATTACCCTGTTGTTATCCACAACCACAAATAATTCCACATAGCTCTTCTGTGGCAGGACAGCTCGCTGCTTCTGCAAATTAGAAAGCACAATAAGTTAACATAAATGACTAACGAGTTCAAGGGTTTTTTACTTATGTTTTTCATTTCATGGATTTATAAAGCAGTTATGCATTTTTTAATGTGGCCTATCAATTTGCCTTAGATTTCCACATAAATATCTGTATGTCAGTAATTCACTTCTGCTCAGATGCTGGGATGCGTCAGCTGAATGGCAGCTTCATGCCTTTCACATCATACCCACAACTATCTTGGGCAGAGCTCTGCTCTTCTGATAAAGTATTGCTTCGAGCTATGTTAAATTCCCATTGTTCTGTTTTCTGTTTCAGGATTTCCTTAGCAGTACTCCCACCAGTTTGGGGGAAAATGAAGGCAACAAGGAAGTGGCCTGCCAGGCCAAGCCCACCTGCAATGATACCATGCCAAAGCAAGAGCTCTGGAAACCCTTGGCTGCTGGAACAGACTGAGGAGAAGGCTTGGACTCAAGAGAGAAACAGGAAGGTATTTACCCTCAAAAGCTTTTCCCTGCTAGAGGTACTGTTTGATAAAAATGCGTATTTCACAGACTGCTTCTTCACAGACATCTCGTGATGAAGGCTGCCATTCAGCACAGCACATTGGAAGGGGATATCCTGCATATCTTCTAACTGGTAAAACACGTGTTCAAATGTGCTGGATGTGTTGAGTGGCTCCATTCCATACCATTTGCCTCCGATGTAGAGAATTCCTCTAATAATCATACAAGAATGAAAAATTATTCCATAATTTTTCCCTTGTGGTTATGGACTAGGTGAGTGAATGACAGCTGGATACTTAAAAACTAGAACTGCTCATACCACTATTTTGAAATAAGTTATCTTAATTATCTTAATATAGAGGATATGTTCAAATGCCCAATAGGATCTCAAAAGACAAAACAGAACTTATTTAAAATACTTGATCGTACACAAGTGTGGGCTCCTGAGTCAGTTACTGGGAAAGCCACATTTTTACTAAATGAGTCTGGATAGTGGGTACAGAGCTGATGCAAAGGGTCTCTTTTAGCCCTTATCTCTAGTCTCACTCTGAGCTCCATGGAGCTAAAGTAATTTAGCATTTTAGAAAAAGGTATCTTCTAAGACAGAAAGAGAGGCTAAAAGCAATCACCGGGGTGTTTATGAGGGCAACAGCAGTATTGCACTGCTGAGTGCAGCTAAGTATAAAGATTTTGCGTTTGTCCGTGGCTCAGAAACACCGGGTACGTGCCCATTTGCTGTACCAGAATCTTTCAGAAGCTATTATCTTGTTCTCCTGAATCTCAAAATTATATTTAGAACAAGAATTCTCTCGTTAATATCTTGTGAAAGAAGATCCTCAGAAATGTGAGTACAAGGTAACCAAAGGTTTTGAGTCCACGTGAGTTTGCAGAACAGCCAAAATGAAATATCTGTTCTGCTTAGTGAGATCCAGCATTACCTGAAATACCAGCATGTTGACCGTTTTATGGTTCTTTTAAAGGAATGCCAGGAAATGTCATTATTCATAGCGAGTGGCATCTCACTGTGATACTATATGTGAAAGATATGTGGGTGAACTTTATCCCATTTGCCTCTTCCTGCTTGTGAAAAAAACATCAAACTGAACACGGCTACTACAACCAACAAGTATATCCAAAGTCCAGCTAAAGAGCCAAGCTCAATGAACACAGCGGAGCACGGACACTGTAAGCACATTCTGATTATCTGCACAATTTGCTTTGCATGCCATCTCATTTTGCCAACTCACACGGACTCATTCTGCGGGGAGAACAGCACCATCTTTTATGCATTTATCTGGCCCCTTTATGTTTCTCAAATAAATGTAATTTTCTTGTATTTGAAACACAAAAAATTGTTTCAAATTTGGTCAAAACTTTTTCCACAGAAATGGTTTTTCTTTTGAAACATGCCCATTTATAAGACAGAATTGTTCACAGGAGTGTGTTAAGTTTAACAAAAGCTTCATCGGCATTTCTTCTGGTCAAGCCATTCGCGTCAAGTAATAGACGCCTCAGTTCATGCCCGTGTTCTGCCTGTATTTGGATTATGCTCTCTCTCATGTTATCTTTTTCTGTGAAGGAATTTTGGAAAAGGGGGAAGAAAGTGGCAGTTGAGGGAAGATATAAAACATCTAAAGAGCTCCAGCTTCATCAAAAGGTGAAATATAAAAAAAAAATTGCAAGATAGGATGGTGTTTTCTCTCCAGCTGTATGATGAATAGCAACTTTTTTTTTACTGTTTTACTTTGGTACTGCACAATGAATTATCCTGAAGCAAAAAGCAAGAGGTAATACCTAAGGCCATCGCATGTGCTAAGAGCAAGCATTGAGTCAGCAATTCCTTCAACAGTGCCATGATAATAACAGTGTGTCTGAAATGAAACAAAACCACATAATTAATGACAAAATAAGGCTGTTGCCTTCAAATGCAAACTTATTTTCTAACGTAACCTTTTATTTGCATGACATTAAGGCTGGCTGTTACAAATTTACAGAGTTCCCTATTCTAAAAGTAATCCCAACCCTCTTGGAGTAAAATACTACCCGACATGAGTAACTACAGCAGAATTTGCTCCCTTGGTTCTAGAAAACAACCAGCTTTTTAGTTTAACTCGTCACCATCTTTTAGCAAAATCTTTTTATCTACATTGCTCATCTTGTTGTTAAAGAGACTCCTCGCAAAGGCTGATCTCTCGCCCATGCACAAAGCACCCAGTTAAGTCTCACTGAGCTCACATGCAGTCAAAAGTTGAAATTAAATGCAAAAGCATTTGTAAGGCTTGTTTGATTCAGAACCTCAAAACTACAGAGCTTTGGTGCTGCCATACTATGCAAAGGTGACCTAGTCAGGTAGCTCAGATTCAGTCTTGGCATAATCTGGCATCTCCTTTCACGCCTTGGAAAACAGTGATGCTGTATCACCATAAACAGCCCGCTCCCTCGTAAGACATAGAACTGTATGTTTTGTATCAGTGGTAACTCTTAAACAGAAATGCTACAAATGTGAAAATTCACAAAAGCCTTTTTCCCAGCAAATATATTTTTCTTCTGTAGATACTTTATGTGCATCACTTGCATCTTCCCCTCCACTGCCAAAAATGTAACCAATTTTCATTGTCCTATTATAGAGAAATGAAGACACTCAGAATTAATGGTTGTGCATTCACTTTTGCTTTGAAAATCTATTTAGGTGCATACGTATCCTTGTTGTCATCCTCAGTTCTATCAAATTGTTAGTATGACTTCAATTCATAAAGCTTGGCTTCCCTGGTTTGAGGAAACTTACACAAAAGGGGAATTTTATTATCCACAATACCTTGTTTTTTGATTGTGTTGCCTCCAGTTTCCCATTTTCCCCATATGTATAGAGCGTAAAGTCTTCGCTAACAAGGTTTCTGGAAAAAAAAACAAACTACTGCTCTTTTAACAGTCTAGAAAGCGAGAAATAAGTCACGGATCCTAGTAAGGTTAGCAGCATTCTGTTAGCAGCACAGTCATGCCAAATTATTATTAAAATCCACAGACATGAAACAAAATATCTCAAAAATGAGCTGCATTATTTGGACAAGAAGTTATTTTGAAATATGTTAACTAAAATTTCCATAGAATAGGATCTGAACAGACTATGTCATATCACGGCCTGGACTATTACAGGCTCAGGAATGAGGAACAACAGTAATAGACAAATTTCTTCAAGTACAACACCGCTAACAGCCCTCCCCTCCCTGCTAATAAAGAACTAATTTTGAAACAAATTCTAATTTTCCATAAGGTTTTTCTGAAATTTACTGCTTTGTGGTGCTAATAAAATATAATCAAAATAAATTTCTGCACAACTAGAAAAAATATTATTCCCTTCTATTTGCAAGCTAGTACCATAACAGAGACACTATTTAACAAGTAATTTTGTAATTACTACAATCTGGCATTTAAATGGTTTCTTCTGATTTTTTTCAGTATAAAAATACATGTCTGTATTTTTATACTCTGCATACTATGTGCAACTAAATCCCAAGATGGAACAATTTCTTAGAACGCTCTATCACATACTTATTTTTCTTCAGTTTTAGGAGGTATGTTCCATTTCTGGTTTTAATTGAGTAAGAAAGATTGTCATCTGAGTACACCTGAAAACAGAACAAAAGATATCACTTCATTAGGTGATTTTCTACTTGGTTGTGTCAGTTCCATGTTTTCTTTGACAAGAGAAGTCCAACTACTGTGTATGTGTGTATTTACCAGATTTACAAAACACACATTCCTAACCCTCATGCCTTTCAAAGTCTCAGCAGCACACTCTACATTCTTTCTTATGGAAAGTTTCAATTCTACTAAGCTAAGAAGACAGAATGAAAACGTACACAAACTACAGAAGAAATTAAATATGTCTGCCATTAGAGATTTCTAGAGGGAATGTAGAAGATCTAAAGTCTACAGCAAAATGAAAATGTAAAATTTGTGGTATTAAAAGAACAAAAAAGAAGCGTTAGTAAAGCTAAATGTAGACTACCGCGCTGTACTTCTATAGGTTCAGGAACAGGTGGCCCTCAGACGCTAGTGGAGAGGAGGTAGATACGGCTTGGATGAAGGTGGCCAGCCTCAGTTCCCAGAGAAGCGCACAGCCCATGTGTGCACTCTTTGCCCAACCACACCATCATGTTTCGTGACACTCCTTATGTAAATCATCGGCAGCCAGATGAACGACTCAGAGATTCCTCCTTCCTTAATCGGTTTGCACAAAGATGACTAATGCAATTTCATTAAGAGTTATTTCAGTAATGGAACTCGATATCTGGAACATAGGTTAAGTTACCTCAGAACTGAAGAATTAAGGCTCAGATATTTCGCTTTTAACTCGTTCATCTAACCTGTGCGACTCTGTGGGACCATTTCTACTAAGTGAGCATCAGCCTTTTAGGTGCTACATGGTTGAAATCCTCTGGTTATCCAAAGACCAGGTACAATGAGCAAAAGAACATACACAGCATGGACGTTAGTTCAAGTTCGAGTTCAACATCTAATCTGACTTGGAGGACATGGAAATATTCTTCCTGTTCCTTCCCACTCTGTTAACAGAGACCAGAAGTTTGAAAGGTGTTAACTTAAGAGTGTAGTCACAGACCTTTGTGGGAACAAATTTACACTAAACTTGTTGAAAACACTTAAGAATCTGAAGAGATAGCGCACATTTCTTCACAAAAATAATCTCTATATACTATACATTATGTGTCTTTGTGTAATACAGGCCAATATTGCGAAAACCAGCAACATCAGAAGAAAAAGATCAGATAGAATAACAAACCTCATGAAAAAATGGGTGATGTTTCTCTCTGTCTGTCAGACTTTGAGGAATAATTATTTCTAATGTAGAAAGTCTGGATGTCTGTTCAGAAGGTACACCTAAAAAAAAAGTTTTAAATTTCTCAAGAATCAGAAGGGATAAGTAAGACGTTATGTTGGCATCTGCACAGTGGTGATTGCTGAAAAACCATTCTGATCAGGCCATAAAAAGGAGAAATTTCACCAGTACAGGACCTGACTGCGCATGCTCAGTTTAGACAGTCTATTCTGTCTCTGACAGAGTTCTTGGGTTGTGCTGGGAAAGTCGCAGAAATCAACATTTTCATTCATGGCCAAGTTACTCTTAATTTCTGAGTGTTTAAATTAAATATATGTGGCCTCATTCTCTGCAGAAATGCTGTTTTGACTGTATTCAAGGTTAACGACTACACCACCCCAAACACAACTGATGTAAAGTGCTAAAAACTGCAAATTCGAGTAAAAGCTTTCTTAAACAGGGTGTCCAAAACTGGCCGGCAATCTTGGCTTTAAATCTTGGTCTTAGTTACTTACATTATAAACTGGGATAACAGCTCAAATTTTTTCTCATTCCTTCATATAGGCAATATCAAACCAAATTAATTATTGTTTGGAAAAAAATAAATCCCTCAACCAATATGACAGTAACATAATAGAGAATCCCAAGAACAAGAAAAAAAAAAATCCCTTCCTGTATTCACTGCATACTTTGATAGCAATGAAGAAATAGTTTAGGAATGGTCAAACTGATTTAAAAAAAGTAATTTCAGATTAAAGCTGGGGTCTTCTGGAGCACACAAAGAAAAAGTATCCAATGATTTAAACACAATCTTAATTCTCACGTATTCTAACCTGGATCATTAACTTTGTCTATCATTTTTGAAACATTTTTTCTTCCATGACCTACATTTTTAACCTGATGTACCACAGAAAATTTAGGCAGCTACCTTCTCTGTCCACCCATCTGTCCCCTCACAGTGATTTTTGAAGTAGCTGGCCAGTTAAAATCAACTATGCGAGAGATGCTAACATCTCAAGTAGAATTAAGTTCCTTCAAGCTTTGTGAAATCACCTCATCGGCACCAGGAAGACCGTGCTGATCTGTAAATCTACAGCAGGGCTCTCTAGGAGCGGCTGATGGACATATGGTACAATTATTTTGATTGGATCCAACTTTGCCGTGACATTTCAGAACTTGCTAGACAGAGAATTGGAGAATATTGTACCTCCAGAAGAATAAATTCAGTCCCTAAATACACGGTGGAATGTTTTCTACTGGTTACAGAGCCCCTTGCTGTGGTATCGCCTTCAGCTAGTTAGGTCCTGCACTGCTCATCTTCTCCCTCTTGCTCATGTCCCTACTTCCTTCTGTCCCTTCCTTGATTAGATCAGCTCCCCATTCAGCCCTCTCCTTCCATTTAAATCCCTTTGCTCCTATTCCTTTCCCCATTGCTCTGAACGAGGAATACTTAAGTTGTCCTCTGGATATAATTCTGCCACCTGCTACATGCATAACCTTGGTTCACCACGCTGCCTCCTGCCACTGCCTAATGCTGCATTTTGTTTGTTCCAGCCACAGTCAAACCCCTGTAAGTTTGTAGCCTTTTACTTTATATCAGAATTATCCCCAGAATATCATGCTAATGCAGGAAGCTTGAGATAAGAAGTCTGCTGAGTATCTGGTTTCAGGTAAACAGTTTTATAAAGACAAAAACAATATCTGGTGACTTTTCTTAGAATTGGCTGAACTTGAATTCATCTTCGTCTTGTCCACTCATCAGTCTGGTTTGAGTATTCACTTTGGTCAGCAGAGACACAAACACTGCTTTTAAACAGGTTACAGAACCAACAGTAACATGGGCTTTAATAACAAAAGTGTGCATTTTTCTTTTATAAGGAAACAAATAGATTTCTTCTCATTTATAGTAGCACAAAGTCACCCTCAGCCCCCACATTTCTGTGAACGGAATTCATAATTGCAGAGAAGCCACAGAATCACCCACTCAAAGCAAGGAGGAGGATTCTTCAGCATAATGATGATCTCTAACTATTAGATAACATCAGGATTTTTAAAAGCTAGGTGCAGGTAGCATACGTTTAACATTAAAGACTCCCATTGCAATCAAAATGTGGAAGTTGCTATTAGGAAACGGGTCTGCAAAGAGTATCGGCACTCAATATTTACTTCTGACTTTGCTCTTACTCTCCAATAATTTTATTATCTAAATCACAAAATTCATTCTGTTTCGTGAGTTAAGTGCATGTTGAACTAACAGTGGAAATGCAGTTCTAACAATTTAAATTTTGACACCTGAAAGCAGGAAACCATCTTTAATGCAAATCATAAAAATATCACTTTCTAAGAACTATTTCAGGTGTTACATTTAAATCTAAAATCTGAAGCCAAATCATAAATGGAAATGAGTTAATGAAGAACTAAAAAAGAACTGTAAGAGTTTCCCTCGCATTACTGAAGATCAAAATCTCTTTCTCCAGTCTTCACTGTCGATGAGAGTGACGGTAACTGCAGTTGTCACAACCAGTGTCCTGTATGGAAGACGATGTATGTACATACCTACTACATCCTGGAGGAAAAAAACCCACAAAGAGCTCAACTATAAAAAGCTTGAACCTGTAATCTTTTCCAGACACTTTTTTTCTTGAACAAGATTTTCTCAATTAGCAGGTCAGCTAATAGCCTAATACCTGGGGAGAGTGGTGACTCGATTTGAAAGGTGTGCATCATTATGATCAGGACCAGGGAGTACAAGAAGATTTGGAGAAACTTTCCAAATACGTAACAAAAACTGAAAGCTTACCTTTTATCCAAAAAGGTTTTCCAGTTAAAGTTAGTCCAAAAGTGAAAAAAAATAGGCTGTGTTTTAACATGACTAGATTTCCTGGAGAAACTACTACAGTATTTGAGCAGATGCTGCGTACCTGGCTCTTAGCTGCTCTACACAGGAGAACTAGGAGAACCCTCTGCTCCGAAGGTAAACAGAAAAAGGACTCTGATACTTCATCTCTGCTAGGGAAACGGGAAGTAAAATTTAATGCATTAGGCTTGCAAAAAAACTGGTTCGACAGCTTAATGCAAATAAAAAGCAGCACATTCTTAAATGCTGATTGGAGAAAGAGCACCAACCCATGCCAGGATCAAACTGGTTTATTCTAAAGGACTTTGGTACCACAGTGAGATCATATGAGATTAGAAACTTAAAACATTGCTACCAAGGGATACAATGTTTAGGATGTTTATACTGGCTATTGACAGCTCAGTAAAAAAATCTAGTATAAACCAGTCTACTCTCTGAAATTCCAGCTTGTTCTTTGTTTTAATTTTTTCATCTTTACTTTAAAAATATCAAAAATACAATGCATATGAACACATGGAAATCCCACGAACATGTGGAAATCCCCCAAACGGGGATTTTACCCTGTCCTTTCTATGTTGAAGATAATTCTCCTCACCAAGACTCTGTCATTTTGTGCAGCTCGTCGCTCTTCCAGGATCAGAATAATCTTCCGAGGCCTCATGCAACCATGTTGTCACCAAAAGCAGAAAATAAACGTTTCTAGAACTGGATGAATTTGCAACACATTTCAGAAGCATCAAGCGCATTTAGAAACTCAAAAAGGAGACATACAACACAGTTTATAAACATTTACATTCGTTCATTAATTAAAACAGAGCAAAAGCATTTTCCCATCGCTAGTAAATGACATAAAAACAATGGCTTCAGTGAAAAAAAGCACACGTGCCGACTCCATTTGTAACATTGGCTTGCACCAAGCCTGCTCGAGGCCACCGTCCTGTTTGCGCAGACCTAATTAAGCTTCCTCAGCCGAGCACCGAGTGGGAGGACCCCACACCCGCCCTCCCTGGGCTTGTGCCGGTCCCCCGACTCCAGAAGCTGGGATCCTACTGAAAATTAAATGAAGCCTATCTTTACTTTATTGCCTGCCTCCTATGCGGTACGCTCTTAGCACGCAGCTCGCTAGAACTGCGTTGCTCCCAGTTGTGCTGCTTTATCCAGTCCCCTGGCGCTGACGCGCTCCTAAGGCTTTGCCACCTCTCCGAGAGCGCTTTATTTTATTAGAAGGACTAACCCTAGCAGCTGCCCACCCGCCGGCTGTTACTTCAAACGCCTGG